TTGAATGAGCGCTTCTTTCAATCTGTATTTATTTTTTAAATGAATAAAACTAGTTAAATTGCTTGTTAGCACATGAAGGCAACGTTGGAGGTTGAACTGACAAACAATGCACAATGATGTTTTTTTTACAATGCAGTCTGCTTTTTTTCAAAATAAGCGCCAAAAGGTTTAAAAACCTGATGCGCTCGAGCTCAGCAGGGTGCCACATGCACGCGCGCTGTACAGTAAAAATGGGATTAAAGATGAAAATAGAAACATGAAAACATAAAAATTAAGATTAATGCCGAAAAATGAAAATTAAGTGTAATAAAAATAATTTGAAAATATAACAATAATATAATATATTCTCACAATTGAAATTATTATTATTATTATTATTATTATTATTGTTATTGTTATTTGTCGTCAAAGCAAGGGCGTCAGCAGCAAGAAAAATAATATTAATGCTGATACCGAGAATGAGAATTATATTCAAATTGTTAAAACGTTAAAAATCTTGATTTTAATTTTGCACCTTCAATTTATTCTGCCTGTTTCAAACAGAAGCACGAGCTTTCAAAGCAACCTGCTGGATTATTGGCCGCCCATTTTTCCTATTTAAACGTGAGCAAGAAAACCCGCTTCTATTTTTTTAATTACCCAGACGATGAGATATAAATCATAACCCACTGGAGAGTCTTTTGGGTGGTCTTCTGTTATAGTTGAACTACATCACCACTAAAGTAAGCCAAGCAAAAGCACGACGGTTTACCTGGCCAGATGTCTTGGGTCAATTTAATGGCCGGCACTGTAAATAATAATAATATTTAAGCTAAATGATGGAACTCCAAGCCTAATATCTGCACATGATACCGCCCTATGCATAACACCACTGCAGCTGCTTCAATACTGGAGAGGCCTCTGATTTTCATAACGCATAACGGATCCGCTCGCTGGGTGGATTGTTATTATTTTTAAATGAACCGAATGTATTTTCTTGTGTTGAATTAAACTGAAAAAAATCAACTAACAAACCAAACAAAAGCACCAGAATAACGAGTATGACATCATAAACGCCGCCGCCACGATCCACTCGAACGCTCAATCTCAACACCACAGCGTTTCATAATAATAATAATAATAATAATAATAGGCCCCAGAAATGATGACACATTCTGATAAGAAGCTGAACATCCCAGTCCGTCGCAGGCCTCACTTTCCTTCGACGCTTCATTATTCAGTTTCTATCCTGAAAGCAAATGATGAACCAGAACATTCGCTCTACTATTCTGATCTTTGGCGCTTTTTAAGTTATTCTAAAACTTTTCTCGCGACTTAAAACAGCGATTATTGCACGATGGAGAATTAGGTCCAAATTTGTGATTACCCATCCTCCTTTTCGTGTAGAATCAAGTCCTCACAATCTTTTTCTCTGCTGAACACAATGTGATTTTATCGTCCGCGTCTCACTGAGCGATAGTTTGAGAAGGCTTTCCTGTTTTGGCAAACAAGAGGAGCAGAGATATGTTCAGAGAGCGAGTGATCATGCAGACAATACATGCAGTTGAAGTTCACATTGTTGGGTTGTGGTGGTGGTGGGTGGGGTGGGGTGGGGTGGGTTGGGTTGGGGGGGCAAGAACATGTGCAAACAAATTCTATATGGCCAAAAAATGCGGTTGAAGCGAGCGTGAACGCAGCCGTCTCCCTTTTACCCCAGTCTTTAAACGGAAATTGAAACGTTGCTGTTTTCGTCCAGCCAAATATTGAAGGAATGCTGCACACGGTGGCTTTTGTTTTTGCTGTGTGACCCGAAGCCACGTGGTAGAGTGTGAGAAAGTGCGTTATTTTTTTTCTTTTTTAGGAATGTAGCGGAACGGTTTACAAGCCCCAGTCGAACAAAGCATTTCAGTATTAAAGAAAAATGCGTTGTGATGCTGCATGCGATGTTTTGCTATTTATGACTCACAAACACGGAACATCAATAGAGCCAGTGAAGAAGAGCAGGGCGTGGAAAGCACTCTGGAGATTAGACTTAGACTGAGGATTATAGAAGCCAGATCAGATCAACAAGTGAACATACCAAACGCCTGGGAAATATAATATAATATAATATAATATAATATAATATAATATAATATAATATAATTCTCTGTTGGGAGAGATTCTTGGAAAAATAATAATCCAAAGCTTCATTTTGCTGTTGGGTCTAAAACGTGCACTTTTGCAAAGTCCTTCTAATTAAGTCGTCAACTTTTAGGACGAGTGGCCAGCTGGGCAGCTCCAAATACCTACAGTAGCCGAGTGGTAACACTATGAGACCCTGACTTTGAACCCTTTTACTCCATATAACTGGGTTCGCGACTATAGTGAGTGAAATGTACAAAAAACATTAAACGACATTAGGAGCCAGTTATTTTCTCGCTGCATTGCAGTGTGTAGCATGTTAACTACAGGCCCAGTGGATCATTAGGCCGAGCTCCAAGAAAAGAGAGTCAACACATCTTTTAAAACCTCCATCAAAAGAGACTGAATCTACGGTTCAGGCCCAGGTCTCAAGACCTCGGACTTCTAGTCCAAATTAGGCCTTCAAGGAATTAAAGAAAGTGAATAGACTTCGCTCTCGCGTGGCTTCTAGCTCCGTTCAGGGCTTCACGAGCTCGAAATAATTGAGATTTAGGAGATAGAGTGTGTGTTTGGAGCAGCGCATGGGCTTTTGCTTTTCTTTTAGTTAAAGGTGCCCTGTACACCCCAAACAACCCCCCTCACCTCCTTTTCCGTCCCATGAAAAACGATTCCAGCGCACTGATTGAATTTTATTCCTTCCTGCCCCGGGCCCGTCCTGCGGGGGCGCCATCCATCTCGGGCCTAACGCGACGTTTTGTTTATTACTCGGGGAAAAAGGCTCTAATGACTTTTATGAGCGATGATTGCAACTGTCCAAGTGGAGAGAGTGGCCTGCGACACACTGACCAGGATCTTAGCCTACAAAATAATGAGGACATTCTGCTTACATCTTTTGTTTCTCCTGATTATTATTATGATTATCATAATTATTATTATTAACAATACTACTACTACTATTTACTGTCGTTTTTGTTGTGTAGACTTACAAATCTGAACATTTGAAATAAGCAAAGAGTACATAGGTCTTCAGTGATGGGGTGAGGCCGAAAGAACGTGGATTAAAGCGATACCAAACAAAATCTCGCGATTCTCTATGAGAGAGCACCAGGCCTTTGGGCCTCAGCATCTGAAAAACAAAACTCGTGAGATTAGAGAGAGTCTGAGCAAACACGAAGTGAAACACTTAAGATGGAGGTAATGAGCGAATCTGAGAGGCCTTGTTAACCCCCTTCCAAGTCAATTGGGCGCTAAATTAGCCGGTGTAATCACTAAAAAAGACCTTTGAAAAAGAGGTCTAAAGAAGTCTTAATGGGGACGTACAAACTAGATACAACATACAGCACATTATAATAATAATAATAATAATAATATAATAATAATAATAATAATGTTATTATGTTTGTTGTTATTGAAACTGTTGCTGTTCAGAATAAAAATATTATTATTGGGCAAAATATTATTTATAATGCTACTGTAATATTTATGTCTGGTGTACCTGAATCAATCTTTTTAAATTTAGTACCAACATTCTGAGCTACTGAGGCGACCGTTGTCATGTTTAATGCGCCTGTTTTGAAAAGCAGAAAAAAGGCAGCCACTGCGTTTTAAATCCGCAAGTTTCATCTAAATTCTGTGAGAAAAACGCATTCGTAATTTACAAATGTGACAACAGCTTGCGCGCTGAGACGAGCCATGTGCCAGAGCCAGAGCAGATCAACCATCAACCAGCCAAACCCCAACCAGCCTCCAGTGCCAGCAGCCTGTGAAATACAACCCAGCACACCACGTCCATGTGCAAAACACAAGTAATTTCCACAAATAATCCACAAACCGGGTCTGCTTTAGGGCGCCCAGGTGCCATTGCTCCTCTGATACACCCTCATGCACAGCCTCGCTGCTGACGTGAATCAGCACCACTATCAGTACGTCTAGTGGCCTAGTGATATTAACCAAATGATGCAACCTGCCTGGGTCATTCAGAGCAGCGTGGAACTCAAATGCACCAGGCGAGGAAGGCCTGATGACGACACACCGCTCGGTACTGACAAGATGAGATGCCCACGAGCTACGAGTTGAGGATTATTCGGAAGAAAAAAAAAAATGTAAACAAAAACCCCAACGACACCTCGAGGCAATTAAACTATTATCATCTGATCCTCCGCGGAGAACGTGTTAACAGCTTGTTTACTTCTAAAGCAACCAAGAGCTTTTTTTTCTTTTGCCTATCATGCACCGCTATTATTGATGCAAAGATAAATAAAAGCGGCATCCTCTTTTCATTATACTGTATTATCTGAGCATTTTCTTTCATATTCCTTTAAAGTAAAAACGATGAGTTTGGCCTACGGCTATTTCGCATTTGTGAAATGGTAATAATTTTTGGAGCAAACAAAGAACTTTCTAAAGAAATTAAAGCATAAATAAGTGCAATTTCAAACGTGCAGGACATGCAGAAAGTTTTTTTAGCAGATGCAAAACCAAAATAAACATTACTTTCCACTAAATTTCAAATTGTCTATTCTATTCAATAGTTTGGGGAAAACAATACTAAAAAAAATAGCCCAAGTTTATCTTTGCATGCACATTCTTTTTCAAAGCTAAAATCTGATGGACCCAAATTTAGGTCTTCAAATTAAAAGCATGCATAGTAACTTTGACTTTATCGGCGGCCATTTACAGATCTGCTCAAACTTCAGTCACGTTTATGGTGGCAATTTTTTGAACCTCTGGCCCTCCGCTAGCCTTTACAGTGAAACACAGAAATAACGTGCATAAATTAGCCACTATTTCGAGGCATTGTAGTGTGAACGATGCTTTAAGAAATCAGGCGTAGCCTACGTTTAACTCCAATAAAATGGTAATTTATTTAAACAAACAATGCAGTTCCTTCAAAATACTTTTACTTTTTTTTCAACAAAATGAGATAATTTGAAAGAATAATGACGATATACACGATCTGTTCCTCCTTACAATGGAACATTTCTGGACACTTAAGGCAAATTCAGGTTTTAGAAACACGCTTGTTGGTGTTTTGGTCCATAATATCCGGCTACATTTTTTTTCTTTTCCTTTTTTTTTTTCTTAGAAATAAATTACTATATGCAATTTACACGTAATAACAAGTCCATGGAAGTCTCACTTAACTTTGTATTTTTTAAACAATAATAACCACAAAACATATAGCTCACTAAAAAAGCGAAAAAACACAAAAGAGACTTACGTGTTATTTTGCAGTAACACTGTCCTTAACAAACCAAGATCATCAAAACTGTTTTTTTTTTTCTTTTTTGGACTCATTTGTGTTCTGTTTCGGTCAAGTTCATCTCTGGAGAGGTTGGGTGTAAGTGGGAAGTGGAAAAAAAAAGATGAGTTTATCGAAGAAAATTGGGGGGAATAAAAATTACAGCAATAAAAAAGAACAAAATTTTTGGTGATTTTTTTTTTTCTTTGGTCAGAATTTGCTGCAGTCATATACGAAAGCCCCCGAGGCTCGGTATAAGGACTGGCTGGATGGGAAAGCCATCTGACAGCTGCTGCCGCCGCCGCCGCCGCTGCTGCTAGTTCCGTTCACGGGCGAGTTATTGAGGCCGATCCGCTGTGACTCGAACATCTCCCGCACCGCGTGGAAGTTCTGCTGCTGCGCGCTCGGGTAGGTGGCGCCCAGGTGGCCCAGCTCGCTGGCCTGATTGAGGTACCACGAGGCCAGGCGGCCCTGGTGCGCGTGGTGGGCGTGGGAGTGGTGCGGGTGTCCGCCGTCCTGCCCCAGCGACGCCGTGCTGGTGGTGGTGATGTAGTCGGGGAGCGCGTCGTCCACGCTGACGCTCGCGCGCTCGCCCGCGTACAGGCTCATGGCCTGCATGTTGCAGTGGTACGTGGCGTTGGAGGTGGCCGTGACTGCGCTGCCGCACGCCGAGCTCTGGTGGCACGGCGAGCCGTAGGCGGACGCCTGCACGGGGGAGTAGTTGAGCGACAAGGACCGGGACGACGACGAGGAGGAGGAGGAAGAGGAAGAGGAGGATGAGGACGAGGAAGAGGAGGACGGCGCGAGCTCGGCCGCGGGGCCCGGCGGTGATCCGCGCAGCGACGTCATGATGTTGTCCACGCTGAAGCCTTGAGCTTGGTGGTGGTGGTGATGGTTGTGGTGGTGAAGTTGATGGTGCTGCTGCTGCTGCTGCTGCTGCTGCTGCTGTTGTTGTTGTTGTTGGTGATGGTGATGAAGGTGATGCTGCTGCTCGTCCAGGCCCACGGAACGCGCGGACGGGCTCGCGCTCGACATGCTGCCGCCTCCGCTGTGGCTGCTACTGCTGCTGTCCGGGCTCTCGATCTTGGGCACGGCGCCCAGCGCGGGCGAGACAGCTTGGGGCGGCGTGCACGCGCCGTTCTCGGTCTTAATGTCCTGAATGCGCACTGGCTGCTGCTGCTGCTGCTGCTCTTGCTGGCCCTCGCGCGCCTGTTGCTGCTGCTGCCCCGTTTGCTGCCGCGTGGACGTGTCCTTTACCTGCTTCTCCTCCTTCTCCTTGAGCGCGTCCTTTTTCTTGAAGCGCCGCCTGCGCCTCAAGAAGCTGCCGTTCTCGAACATGTTGTAGGAGTCCGGGTCCAGCGTCCAGTAGCTGCCCTTGCCCGGCTTCTTGTCATCGCGGGGCACCTTCACGAAGCACTCGTTCAGGCTCAGGTTGTGGCGGATGCTGTTCTGCCACCCTTGCTTGTTGTCTCGGTAGAACGGGAAGCGCTCCATGATGAACTGGTAGATCCCGTTCAGCGTGATCTTCTTGTCCGGAGAGTTCTGGATGGCCATGGTGATCAACGCGATGTAGCTGTACGGAGGCTTCACCATGTCCTTGGGCTGCGGCGGCGGCGGCCCCATCGTAGGCGGGCCCATCGGTCCCGCCGCGCCGTAAGGCCCGTAGGCGCGCGCCACGCTCGCCGGGTACTGTTCGTGCGAGTACACGCTCATGGGACCCGCCATGCCCGCGTAGGCCCCGCCGCCGGCCGCGCGGTAGTACGTCTGGTCGCCGCCGATGTACGGCACGACGCCCAGGGAGTTCGGGCTGGAGACAGAGTAGCGCGCCTGCATGGCTCTCTCTCTCTCTCAGCGACAACAGCAATAACAACAACAACAATAACAAAAGCAAAATCAACAATAGTGATAATAAAGCCAAGCCGCGGCAGTTCGAGTATCCACTTTTCTTTCCCTTCTCTCTTTTCTTTTGCTTGTTTTCCCCGCTTTCAGTTTTGTCCAACAGAAGCAGCAAGAGTAAAGGGAAACTCCACGGCGCGGTCCACAGCGCGCTCGCCGCGTCTCTCCGCCGGGAAAGGCTGAACGTCTGAAGTCCACACAGCCGTCGCGTCGCCAGGACTTTGTGCGCGCTTCATTTCTTTTTCTTTTTCCTCCCCCCTCCTTTTTACTTTTTGTTTTTTTGGCTGCCGCCGAGGCTCCTCCCCACGCTCCAGCTAAACTCCACCCGAACCGACCAATGGGAGGCCGAGAGACGCTTCTGGCCACACACACGGTTGAAGGAGTGGGAGGTGGGGGGGCGGGGGGGTGCAGAGGTGTTGGGACGTCCCAACACGCGCGCACACATGCCTATACACACACCTATTAGGAACTATACAGCCAAACCGTTTAATACTCAACAGTTGACTTTTTTAAAATGACAATATGAATAATTTTCATATTCAGTTCTGTTACAAAATAGTTTAAGCAGTTTATCCCAGTTTAAAAATGACGATTCATGCCTTCATATTCAGTTCGGCTGATTTATAATCTATCTATCTATCTATCTATCTATCTATCTATCTATGTTGCATTGTTTGGTGTGAATTGGTGGACCAGTAGAGGAGCTCGCGCTCACTATTAGCGAAGCCTCAGTGTGTCTCTTTGCAGCCGCGCTGTGATGAGCTGCACTGGTTTCAGTCGCTGGTGAATCAGCTCATTAAGCAGAACATCTGTTTCTAAATAAGCAGTAAACTGAAGGGCGTTGGGGCGGTGTTGGGGGCTGTAATAGGTAATAGTATCCCGCGTTTGGTTCCTTCTTTATTAGCGCTGGAGCTGTGAGTGAGTCGAAAAAGCATCAAAGCTGTGAGAAAGAGCTCAGAGCTCATCACGAATTAAAGCGGGCAGTCGGAGGGACGGAGGAGAAAGAGGCGCGAAAGTTTGCTGCTTTCCGAGTGTGAGTGAGATTAAAAAGCACCCCCCCACACACCTCTCCACACGCTCACGACCCCCCTGGAAGGGCAAACGGGGAAAAGCCAAACGCCAAACATGTGTCGCACCCCGGACAGCGGGGTGAGAAGAGCGGTGGACCCCCACTCCGCCGACCCCCAACCTCATATCACTGCATTTATTATTTGCTCAATAACAGCAGTACAACAAAATAAGATTTCAGACAGAGCTGAACTGATGCACGCGCACGAAATTCGGGTATTTCGGGATATTTCTAGGCTATCAGTGGATATTATTACTGTTTAGTCTGATTTGCTGCACGCGCAGTTCTGTGTAAAATAAAACTCGCAAAATGAAATTCGCAGGTTAAATTGCGAAAGTGATTTTTGGTGGGAAATTTTAAAAATGCGTCTATAATTAAAGGCCTGTAACAAGAAACACGACGCACTGTTTAATCCTGAGAAACGCCACCGTAAACGTATTAAAAAAAAGATTCAAATGTTTTTATTTGATTATTTGCTTTTTGCGCAGTGTTTTGTCATTTTTTGATTTAGGCCGAACGCAGTAAACGTTTCAGTTAACATTCAACGCGTCTGTGTTGTATTTATTTTTTTAGGACACAATATATTTAGACACATTATTATTATTATTATTATTATTATTATTATTATTATTATTATTAAAGGGAACGTAGGAAATGTAAGCCCTATGTATATGCTCATATAAAATTCATATTCAGAGGAATGAACTTCATGTAAATCAGCATTTAAAGAAAAGAAAAAGAAGAAGAAGAGAAAGAAAAACGCGTTCATAAGTAGCGAACATAATGGAACCAATTACGGTTTATCTGTGTCTTATCTGAGAGCAGAAACAGCCCCACCGGAGCGGCCCGTTCGGAGGCCTGTGAGGGGCAGCGGGAGGCGAAGCTGCGGTCACGCTATCTGGCCCTAATGCCCCCGCTGCTCTCTCTGATGGAGATGGAGGGAGTGAGGGCTCGCCTGGTTTCTCCTTGCAGGGACCCGGGCATGAACTTTTTCCTTCTGCCCGGGGCTGTTTGTACAGGACACGGCTCTCAGCCCAGCCCCGTCCAGTCTCGTCCAGCCTCATCATCTCCATTCCGCCCAGTGCAACCTACAGCAACTTATCGCGTTTACTACACCAAGAAACTTCAACAGTGTTCTGCAAAAGAGCCCTGGCTGGATATTTATACGTGTAGAAATAATTATAATCACGCATTATAATATATATATATATATATATATATCAATATACTATATATAATATATATAATATCAAAAGCTAGAATATGTATTATTCTTCTCAGGACAATTGACAGTTCTATGCTCTAGGTTTGGACGCCAATAATAATAATAATAATAATAATAATAACAACAACAACAATAACAATAACAATAACAATAATATAATAATATTAACAAACAACAACAACAACACAACAACATTTACTGCTTATTTTTCAGTAGCCCGTGAATGAAGGTTAAAACGACTGAATCAGTTTCATGAAGTGAAAATTAAAAAGTAACTTTCTTTAATTCTTCGAATCCATCATGTTTCCAATCGAGGGGAGCACTTTATTTATGTATTTATTTATTTATGTATTTGAATGGGGGGCCTGTATGACTATAAAACCCGTTATGATCATTATCACCCGTTGTTTACAGTGGCGAGACTAAACATCACTATCAGCTAAGAGATTAGAGTTTGATCTAAGTTGTTGCTCTGAGCGCTCATCAAACAAAAACCAAGAAAAACTGCGACGCTGATTTATTTAATTTCTCACTGTTTTCGTTTATATCTGAAAACGTTAAAACTCTTATTACTGTCGTACACGCTAATAGTCCATTCACCAATAATTGTGTTTGTTATTCTTCTAGTTTCCTGCTGCACATTTATGAAGATGCTGGTCAAAATATTCCTCCATTCACACGAAACAATGCGTCAGTACAACAATGCGCTGCACACACTGACTCTAAATAAATAACTTTAAATAGTTTAGCTCCGCAAAAACTGAATGAACGCGTTTCAGGAGTGGCTCGTTTCCCAGCTAAAGAAGTGCATCTCAAAATCATTTTTGGGAGTTGTAAAGCTGCAGTATGTGAGGCTAAATGCCAACAGAAAAGAGGACGCGGAGGGAGTTCATGTCTGCTGCCTGACCGTGGTAGCGATTCGAGAGACCAAAATGAAAAAGAGACCACCTACAGCCCTGGCTTCACGTGATCTGAGCTCCCTCTTTCGACCACACCTGACCCACGAGGTCAAAAAACACTTCGCCTCATAGGCTACCACTATTGCTCCTGCTTCCTTTCATCCACTCCGCCTTACTAAGGAACATTCAGGATGGTCTGCAGTTAGGAATCCTTAAAGGCTGTCTGTTAAAAAAATGAACTGTCTGTAAGGCTGTTTGAAATGCAGTAAACAAACAGATGTAGCCAAATTCGTACTAAGAAAATATACTTAAACATAAAAAATACATAGTAATGATTAAATCTGGACATTTTTGCAGTGCAGTGGCTTTCGCCTTTGGTCAATTATTGGTTAATCTAAAGATTCATTGTTTTGTTATTTATGTACGTAGTTGTTTATATTTATTAATATACAAAGAATATACATCTGCACAAAAGAAATGTAGTCACTAAGTTAAGTCTCTCTGGAATATAATACACATTACACACATGATAGAAAACCTGATGATATATAATTCTCTGAACCCAACTGCACGTAGTCCTGAGAGCCATATGACTGAATCTTTCATTTCTCAACTCCAATAGACCAGCAGCAACAGCACACAGAATGACAGTTCACTCATTAGACGTTGCTGCCCCCTAGTGGTTCGTTTGAAGGCTAGTAAATACGAACAACGCTTGAGGAATGCCATTGCATGCGATTTCATGTATTAATATTAATGTAATTACTTTTCACAATGAAAAATGTACACTTTTAAACTCACCACCATGTACATTGCTTGTCTGATAGTCTACATTCTGGACTTCTGAAGTATACAGACTTTCCAAAAGTTCCTATGCTGAACTTCCTGTGAGCCAGTGAAGTGCTAATCTACCCGTAAGAATGGAAACAGGGACTCAACCAGTGGCAAGCGCAAGTTAATAAAGGCTAGTGTCCCTCCAGGGGTCAAACTCGGATGGAGCATAAGGGGAGTGTTCTTGATGGTTTGCTAATTTATCTTTCATATTTGTCAGAAGACAATTAGATATTGCTTTAGACATAACTTAGATACCAAAACTGACAACCAAGGAAAGCTAAAATGAGCCAAGCAAATGAACTGGCATAATTAAACCATTACAATGGAAACAAATATATATCTTATGAATGCTCAGAAATCCATAATAAGCCACACAGTCAGAACAATATTGTTCCCAGATTGTTGACACCCATGGAAAAAAGGGCTCTCTCACTTCTAAAGGTGGCACTTTTTATTTCTATATAACTAAAATGTTAATATGCAAACAGTCATTCAGAGTGGTTTGAGTCAGAATTGTTCACAGTGGTGGTGATAGGAACCAGACGTCCAAAGTGTTTAGTGCTTCTGAACGCTTCCTTATAGAAACATTTTACATAAAATCATTATGTGGCCTGATGACTAAGACGCCTGCCTCACCACCGATGTAAAGAAACTGAAAGTTTCTTTGCATTGAATCATCTCACATTAAATCCAGTGTCCTAAAGAATCTTAGTGTGAAAATCATGTAAATTGGTAGAAAAAGCATCAAAGCGATGCTGGCTTTCCCATTTAAGAATCATTTAAGAAGGTGTTTTAGGAAGACCCAGCACAGAATGATTTTGTTTACATCTCAATGGTTTAATTATGCTGAAAAATCAGAATTCACCTCTAATGTTGTTTCTGCCTAGACATCAAAACTTTGTGGCTGAACAGTCTGTAACATAGCTTGAATCATGCTGGCTTGTAGACCAGGGGTCCTCAGTTCTTTCCCTGAAGATCTACCACCACATTATATTTAATTCTATATCTCACCTGAAAGAAACTCATTGAGGTCATCAGGAGCAGAATGGAAGGTGAAGTATATTAGACTGAGGCTGTGCTTTCCAGAGCAGTTGATCTCACAGGGCAGGACTGGGCACCCATGGTGTAAACTGTTTATACCAAATGTATTGAGGAAATGCACAGGGGACGTAGTAGATGGTTCACACAAAGTTCACTCCTTAGAACACAAATTAGAG